TAGAAACAGTCCCTGTAACACTAACCACCAAACTGTGCCACAAACAACAGCAGGGGAGAGAAGGGAAACAGAAGCTGGTATGAGCTAAAAGTGTGTAAGGGACTATTCTAACACCCCTGTAACACTGACCTGTGCTCCAGCACCCACCGACACCTCCAGGCACTGTTTCATTTATTAACACAGGAAAGGGACCACAGCCTGTGAATCCTTATCTTTGCTGCTAACCTCTGCAAGGAAGGTGCGGAGATCCTTGCACCACCTGGGTGAGGGGTGGATATTTATATAAGAATGTAGTGATGAGGTCTTCATGGCTTCCTCTAGAGTTTGGATGTCACTCTTCCTCCTCCCGCAGACTGGTCCCACAGTGGACTGGGGACTGTGGACTGGGTCTGGTCCCACAGACCATGCATCACTAAGCTATCTTTTTGCAAGGCTGTGCCTTAAAGGAAGTCATGCATCTAAACCAAAAAAAAGTTAACTGGCTATCTTTAAGCTTCTCTCATAAAGGCAGAGTTGTTTGACACTCAGATTGAAATTCTGATATTTGAAATACTGGTTTCTGTGATTCCTATTGGTTTCGGAACAGCTGCCACACGCATATACATACACAAGGGTGTGTGCGCGCACGTGCACGTATCCCCTCCTCTGCCCCTTATTACTTGCAGCAGCCTTGGTGGTTGCTTTTAGAATAAGTACACTTTCAGATGTCTGTTTTTATTCTTTATGTTTTTGAATACTGTAGACCTATATTCTATCTAATTTTACTATAACCTACTGGAAGGAAATAGCTCTTACAAGTACAAATTCCTCATTTCCTCTGGGCTGCTTTTGTTACTTACGTAAACTATCTGAAACTTTGGGATGCATGTATTTAAGATCTACATCATTTAATGTGTGGTAGATGTTAACCATTTAATACACAACAGAAAGCACTCAAATAACGATGAGTAATGGCAGTATAAGAACCTATATCAACTAGCACTAGCCATCACATCTATAAATGCACTTAGGCTGTGTTTCTTCTGTAAGATACAAAAGTGTAAATCCGAAGTTCCTAACTAACTTCAGTAGAATTTACACTAATATAGCAGAACTATCACTGTGGGTCCTCAGACCATTAAAAAAAATCTTCTTATTCTCTGATATACAGAAAAATATATACATTCATAACAATGAGTCTGATTATCACTTTATTACTTCTGAAAATACACCCAAAGCACAGGAATAAAAATACTGTGTGAAAAGAATTTGCCTTAACTAAGATTCTGCCACAATGCCTGTGCTTACTTGGATGATACATAATACTGGACTTAATGTGAGAAAACATACAAAAATATGACATTGCTTTCTCAATGTGACAATAGAGTGACATCATGTTTAATAGTTACAAATAAGGGAATAACTAGTAACCAAATGAATAAAATCATTCAAGATCAGCTCCCTGAGGGAAATCAAACTATGCAGTGAGTACAGCTCACTGACTAGTGTCGTAACCTAAACCTCTACTGTAATCCTCATTCTCCTGTATGTAATCATCTCATTTGGGTAACTCATAAGCAGAGATTTTATTTTATAAACAGAATTTCTTAAAGAAGAGGTAAAAATCTCATTCTGCAAAGAACTGCCGCTGAAATCATGTTTGCTTCAAGCAGCATGTTCCATTTGTGTCTGTAGTAGGCTACTCTATTACTATTGTTTTCTTTCCCTTATGTACTGACAGCCACTATGTACTGACAGTCACGAATCATCTGCATCCAAACATCATGACTGATGTCTACCCTGCCAACGCTTCAAATATTTAGCTTTAAATTTTAATAAACATCACATCTATTTCCAGCCTCTAGGACAGGGACCAGGCTGAAAGTCAAAGAACTTCAAACTTGGATTACCCTAAAATTAACTAGCAAATTATCAATTTGCTTCTAAGGCAAATAACAATCTTTACAACAAGTATGAGTTTAACTTTACACTTCTAAGCAACAGCTCCTAAGCATATATAGTCAGCTTCCATTAACAAGTGAAAAAAAAAACCACTCTGTTGGGTGAGAGATCTGAAAAGAGCTGGTATAATGTATTTATATCTAAAAGGATGCACGCATGAACTTGCATAAGACTAACATCTCACTCTTGTCTTGGTCCTTGCATTATTACTTTACACACCCATTAAAATACATATTTTGACTGCAATATTAATCAACGGAATTAATATAGATATGGTAATTTAAATCAGATAAAAGTATCATGCAATGTCAGGTATCATTCATATATGTACACACACACACATACATGTCCCTATATATATTTATGTGTGTACACATATGCATTCACAAATATGTATGTATATATTCATACACATACACTTTTCTATAAATATGTACACATTCCTGTACATATGGATATATCACATATATGGAAGAAGGCATCTGACTCACTCAGTTCACAACCAAATAAGATTACACCAGTATGAAGTCATTAAACAAAAATTGAGACCATTTAATTTACAAGCCATATCTATCTGCTCTTTCTAACATTAAAAAGTGTGTTTATAATTTTACTTATAATAGCATTAATCCTCATGTAATTTTATACCATCCCAACTCAACTTAATTGCTTTTACTCTTTTTTCACAATCACAGCTTTCGATTTAATTATTTACCCTCTGAAAATAAAAAGTACACAAAATACATCCACTATCTTTTTCTCAGTGGTCCCTCAGAGCAAATCCTAGGCTTACTCTTAGGTTTGTTATTTTTTTCAGCTCTCTCTATGGAAACAAAATATTTGCAAAAGACAAATCCTATAGATTCAATGGAGCTCTACCCTGGCCAGTGAAAACACACCTTGATTTCGCTACCAATGTTAATAAGAAGTTTCTCTTCTGGAAATTTCAAGTATTTTATAGGAGGAAAATCAAAGTTCCCCTCCTCCTCTGAACATCGCAAAGTATACTTCAGCACTTTAAGTTTTTTTGTAATGGAATCGAAGACTTAAAGATATTTAAGTATTCAACAACTTTTGTTTAACACATCACAAAAAGATGGAAAGGTTTTAGGCAGTGGGTAGACAACACTAGTGAGTCAGTATGAGCCTTTGAAGCTATAAATAGAAATACTTTCTTTAACGTACCTTCGTATAACAACTTACTTTTTTAGAATCTAAAGGACCAGGTGAAAAGGCTGAAATATCCAGCAACTCAAACCACTTTATTCTATTACGGATCACACAGATAACCTAACTAAGCATTTTTCACTCAAAATGAAAATGACTTGGTCATGATTTTTAAGCAAGCGCCATCTCATCTACTGGGAAACTGGATTTAGCTTAACTTCAATTCCTGGAATAATATTAGAATAAATAATCAAACAGACTGCTCCTAAGCATCTAGAGGAAACATGACAACGTGTTACAACCAACACCAATATGTCAAGAGCAAATCTCACCAAATTAATCTTTTATTTAGATTATCTATTATTATCTATTATTTTTATTTAGATTCATCTATTATATAGAAAGAGGTCTGGTTAAAAAAAAAAAAAAAGAGGAGACAGAAAAGGCCACATATTGAAAGTTAGTAAAGTTTTTCTCATTGTCATAAAACATTCCTGTAGAATATTAGGGAAACACGGTCTACCTGTAACTATTGTTAGGTGAGTGTAAATTACCACTTGTAGGAAGTCCCACATACACATTAGTTGTCAACAGTTCACTGTTAGAAAAGAAAAACCACATTCAGTGAGGTTCCACAGGTGCCTGTCCTGGGTCCAGTATATCATATAGTATTTTCACTAAGGATTTGGATTATGGAATGGAAAGATTGCTTCTTAAGGGTTCAAATGATACCAAGCTAGAAAGAAAGGAAAGCATGTTGAGGGGCAACTTCAGAATTCAAAACAATTATCAGAATTATACAATTTCCACAAAATGTTTCAATGTCTATCAATCTTCTCTCTTCTAAGAAAAGCTATTCTGTCTGAGAAACGAACCACAGTAGACTAGCTGAGCTCAAAGCTGGAATGTTTTCAATCCATAAAGCAAAACTTAAACAAACAAACAAACATAATGACCCTAAAAATCACACATATTTGAAGAAATGATAAGGAGTTCAATACATGTACGAATTAGAAGAGGGAGATAGGTCTTACTCGGTTACTTGAAGCTCACTCATTGGTTTCCTCCTCACAAAAGACAGAATTTTATGCAAACACAGGAAAACCTTCTCATAGACAGCCTGATATACACATACTAACCCTTCTGCCATGAAAGGTACATATATTTTTAAATATGGAAACAAGGTCAACAGTTGCTTCTATTAGTATCTTTTTTCAATTTCATAGGCTTGCAGTTTGAGGATACAGATACATGAATGCACATACTGAGCCTGAGGTCAGGTATGAACCTGAAGCAAACAATGCTATGGCAATCACATACCAACAAATAGGCTGTGCTTCTCAGCTGAGAGAAACAGAAAGCGGGTTTCAAAAAGAATGCAAAAACATAGGCTGCTTTAGCCAAGTGTAAATTTTCTACTGCTGAGGCAGGATTAAACTGCATTATGTGTTCACGCCTCTTTTAAATCAACCCAGTTTGTTTAACTACAGATGCCATCCTGCTCAAACATCTGTGGCCTGAAGCAGCATTACCAGTCTCTTGTTGAATAAGAAGTAAATAGCAAAAGGAAATAAGGTCCAACCCAAAGAAACTCTGTGCTAAAAAAAAGCTTCCTTTGTACTTATGCTTTGTTTTCCATATGACTGAGTACTTTCAAGCTATAGATGGAATGCCAACAGGGGAAAAAGGTCTATGAATACTTATAGGCTTCTCCGTCTTCATCTCTATTTGCTGCTCTAAAAATTAAAATTATAACAACTTTAAAACGTCTTTTAAGATATTATTGTAAATGAATTTTAATTCAAATACTGTGCCCTGTTATAAAACACAAAGTACCAAGTATGACTGTTTGAATGCTGATACAACGCAGCATTCTGACCTCAGTGACTTACCTTGTTCCTCACTGATGAGACCCATATCTGCATGTGCTTGTGCTTCTTTTTTTCCACCATCAATTTTTATTAGTTGAGCAGTGTTAAAGCATTGTTCATAGAAGTAATTCCTTAACCATTTGTCCTCAGGGTCATTAAAGCAGTAGGCCAAGTTAAGCTGGTTATTGTACACTTCCTCATAGCACCCTTTAAAACAAAAAATACAGTCAAAACATTAGATTATCATCAGCTTTCACAAATTTTACACAGTACAGCAATAATCATATAATGAAAAATTAAGGGCTATTTACGTATCCATCAGTTAAATACTGCCAAATTCTCCTAAATATTCAGTCAAGGAAATATGAGAAGAGGAAAAGATAATCTTCTGAATTAAAGCATAATTGAAAACTTACTCTAGCAAAACCACAAGAAAATTACTATCATTTCTGTATTAAAAATATACATATTTCAATAAAACATGGAAAACCTAGGTAAGAAACTGACTTACCAAAGGAGAGAAGCTAGTGTGAACAAAAAGAGCATAGAGCCAGTCACTACTGGAGAAGGGTACGCCTGAGCCACCGAGACCTGGAAAGGCACGGGTAGCTTTCAGAACAGGTCTAAGGCAGCAGCTGTGATGATGGGGATAACCAAAAAACCCACTCTGTTATTTTCCTACCATTTTACACATTTAAAGTGAGACTAATGAGAAAGACTGGGAGTTTTTATGTACAGTCTTATTTTTGTTACCTTATCACTGTTACAAACTAAGGACAAACTGAAATTTTATATCTTGAAGATGTAAAGAGTCCATCAAGGTACTGCTCTTAGAACAAATGTAGAAAGCAGAGAAGCCTCAAAGCCCCACATCTCCTTTATGAGTTGAAGGAAAGAATACTTTCAGTTCCCACTCTTTTTCATTTCACCAGCCAGCTTAATGAACAGTTATGATTTACTTTGCACAGAAATTAGCAGTCCCACAGAGTATCATTTCATAGACTATCCCTAAAATAAAAAGAAAATGCTGCAGGTCCCAAATATAAGTAGCATTACAAAATGCATTATTCACAACTTAAAATTACAGAATGAGAGCTTCTATGGAATTAGAGATACTTTTTTTTGAAAAAAAAAATCTCAGGAGATTATTCCAAAGCTCTACTGATTTGGACTAGAGACCTAAAACTTAAAGATACTTGACAATTCTTATCAAACTGCTTCTCCCTAAGGGGAATTTGAAGTATCTCTTCTCTACAAGATGGTGAAGAATATAAGAGATAATAAAGTGTAACATATTTTGATATAATTCACAGCTGAATTTATTGCTGGCAAAACTAAATGAATTTGCTTCCCCAAACTCTGCTTATGTCAGATTTGAATGTGAGCAATTAGTTAAATTCCATTGTAATTTTGATTGTTCACTTAGTGTGCTTGTGGCTGCTAAATGAATGTAAGCCAAAGATCATGTTCTTAAAAGAATTTTAATGTAGTTGGGTAAGAAAGTAATCAAGATTCACAAATCTTGCAGCAGGTAAAAGAATGTTTGGTTAAGCTAGATATGTGAACAGAACTGCTTTGCTTTCGGGAGTTACGCAATTTGTAAGCTTTGCTAAACAAAGAAAGAAGAGGAAAAGAAAGAGAAAAACCCTTACCCCTGGATGTAGAATGCCCCATAGAAATTAATGGGGGAAAAAAACATGCCTGATTTCAATACAGGCAAGATTTAATTTTGAAACTATGATGCTATGTCAAACATTTTGATCAAAGGCTGGAGTCAAAGTCCTTTTGTTTGTTTACCAGAGGAATTGTTAGGGAAAAGCCAACTTTCAAAAGGGAATAATTTCTTGATTGAAAATTCTACCTCCTATGTGAGTCACCTGTGTTGTCTGGAAAAAACAGCATTAATTACTCAAAACAGTACTTTGTTTGCATCTCTTCACAGCTCTTTATTTTAGCTTAAACCAAATAAGAGAGTGTTTCCCCAGCCTCATCTCTTGTATGTTTTGTCTCAAAATTAAAAATTACTTATGTTCTACTAGAAAGCAATCTAAATTTTTCATGCTGTCTGTTGTCATGACTAAGTTTTTTAACTTCAGAATGTCTTGATAAAGCACTTCGGCATATTGCACAACACACTAAGAACTTTATTCTGACTTCTGAAAGAATCCCATTACCATCATTTCTGCAGTCTTCAATACATTTATCTAGTATTTACTTCTCCTTCATTTTTGATCTGATCTTGGCCATTTTGGACAACATTAGCTGATTCTTCTCTGCTTGAAGTTTTCTGAAACCAAGCTGAAATATCTTTTTTCCAGTTCTTGAACACTCATTGTTTTTGTCTTTTGATTTGCAAACTCATTCTTCTCCTTGTTAAACAATACTTCTTTGTTGTTTATCTAACTTTTGCTTTTCTATTTACTATTTTGCTTTCCTATTTACCTTCTCTACAGGTTTTCCCCTATCAAATGGCATATTTTCTATCCTTTCAACAATTCCTTAATCAGCTTCCATTAAAATATGTAAAATTGTCATTTAAAACCAGTCTGTGTTATAAATTTCTAGTACTTTAAATAACGTATGACTCTTTCCAAGAAATGAGAGTATGAAACAATCTCTTTACAATCACCAAAATAGAAATACCCTAGAAATTACTTTGAGATGATCATCTCATCCTTTGCATCTAAGGTTTGAAATGTCAGCACCAAAACATCAGCTGAAGTTTAGAAAAAGTCTGTCTCTAAGAGAAATAATTAACAATATATAAACATAATGTATTCTTATGCATAACATTCTTCATGGCTATGAATTCCATGTCTGTTGTTACTCTCAAGGCTGAAAAAGTACCTCTTCTTCAGAATATCCAACAGCATGTACCATATGAAACTTATTTATACATTAGAAATTAAGACTATTTTTGTACAATAACCTTATGAAAATCTCTGCAGATGATACTGGAAGGGAAGTAACAGAACTGGTTAGGCCTTAGCACTTGTCTGTGTATCTATGCGTGCGCATACACACACACACACACACACACATATATAAATAAATGAGACATATAGTTGAGATTCATCCAATGTAACTTAGATATAGACTTGTATTACCTAGAATCCCTTTACTCAGTGAAGAAAAGCTAATAATCCATGGCTGTGTTTTATCTCATCCCAAGTTAAACATCTATTGTGCCACAAGACAGCACTGCTCTAAAACTTATTTCAAAAGTGGAAGGCAGAGGTTCCCATGAAGACTCCAACTACATAAACAAATAATCCCATTAACAGACAGAGAAATATAAACACTAATTATAGTGATTACTAGTATTTTGTAAGATAACAATGCACATTATAAACTGATTACATCAAAGTGAAAAGGAACTGAGAAGACATCAGAAGATACATACAAATGGTTACCATAAGACAATAATAAGAGGAAAGGGAATCGGATTGTTGTTGGGAAAAGAACACAAGATATGGATTTGCTGCCTTTAAAATCTTTGCTAGAAGATATCAACGTACTAGTACTACATAGAATTATGCAAATGATTTCAGGTAGGGCCCTACAAATCTCAAGAGATGGAACTGACCTGAGGCTGACTATTCTTGCTGCCACAGCTTTGATTGAATGAACTTTAACGTGACCCTCAGATGACTATCCTACCAGTGAATAACAATGAGAAGTGCACAAAGACAACCATTTCTCTGTAATTGTCTTGGACAGTGGCTGCCCAGATATGCTGATGTCACAACAAAACGAACCCCCAAAGACAGACTTTTAAAAGCCAGATTGTCTTCTAGATTCAAAGTCTCTTTGATTTACAAATCTAGGAACTCACTGAGATTATTCTGACAGCGGTAAAGCCAGATCATCAGATTTAGTCAAAGTGAACTTTTATCTCCCCGAGAGAAGAAAAATATTAAAATAGGTAAATACTCTTGTCTATAAAATCTCCCATAGGTAGGTCATAGATAGTTCAGCTTTGACCTTTCTGATTTTTGTAAAGTAAATTCTCTACATCTGAAATAGAATACAGGTAATATACAGAAAGCATTTTTATTTATCAGTTGATACAAAAAAATCCCACATTTATATCTACCGCTTATCAGAGTGGGAATGACAGCATTGGCATGTGAAACTGAATGAACAGGAAAAAAAAGTGAGAGTCATGCAAGCAGTTATAAAATACAAATTCCTGACACACAACAGGAAACAATTAAGAAAGTTAAGAAAGATAAAGGTTCCAATGCTGCTCTTCAAAATCTTTCAAAAATTTTTGAATCTTTCAAAAATTACATTAACTTCATAAAACACTGGAAGCTTCATTCAGGTGTTTTAGAATATTTAAGATACAGGAATGAGAGAACACATTGCAAATATGAACTGGAGGATGGATACCCAACATGGCAGCTAAATAGACCTTGTTGGAGCAGATGGTGAGGCCTGATAGTTTCTGGGTTTGAATATCACTGAAGATCTGAAATAGGGCTGAGAACAGGCCTCACAGGCAATTATCCAACAGAACATTTTTTCAACACCAAAATACCAAACTGAAAGCAAAAGTATTTCATAAAGATTTTCTCCATTTCAACTACTTTAGGTTCAAACAGAAACTAAATTAAAAGATCATGCTCTGCTGCAGAATTTTTTATTTTGTAATTTTTATTACAGAATATAAAATACAGAGAACGCATTTTTTTCATTTTGTTTGACTTGCACTTTTCAAAATATTTTATTTTCATTGTTTTTTTTGGAATTGGAATGCCAAACTCACTTAGCTAATATATATACAAATTCAGAAGAAAGGTTGTTACAGGATAGCATGCTGACACTGTCAAATTTCATGTCACTTCCTGAACAATAAAGGAGGACTGAAAGGTAGGCACTGCCACTGTTTCCTAGAAGTCACGAGGGAGGCAGGAAGAACAACAGAGTGCAAATATTCTGCCCCAAATAGTACTAGGTTCATACAGGGAGTCTGTTCAGTGCAAGTATAACGCATATAAAAATGGTGAGGAAACGGTCATGAGAAATTTGTCAAGTAAGGATAACGATATGTAACGATAATGATATAAGGCAATTCAAGTGGTAATTTAGGACACTAAAGGGGAACTCCAAGCTGTTGGAATGAAAACACACTACTACAATTTTCTAAGACTTCTGTTGAAGTCAATGGTAGTTCTACAATTGGCTATGTTTTGAGAAGGCTT